TCTACTTTCTAGTTTTCCTTTAGTTCCTTCCACCTGCTTGTCAGTTTTTTTGTACAGTGGTGGCTCAAGTGTTGTTATGATGCTGAAAGCTATGTCATTGGTATTTCAGTGTTACTCATCATGGACAGGTTTCAGCTGAGCTTCCACACACAGATAAAGAAAAAAACTTGGGAGTCTACTTCAGAAAGTTGTTGTTGCTGTGTACTGTCGAGTCAGAACCAACCCACAGCTGGCCCAGTGATGGGTTTTCACAGGCAGTTCACTGCATGGGAGGAGATTACTGTGTAAACTCATAGATTTCTTCAGAAAATTAACTAGTGAAATTCTCAACAGAATATTATCCAATGTAGCAATGGATGACTAACCCTCTTGGCTGAGATGATCATACAATGACCACAGCAATAAACATCTACATGCCAATGGCCATGAAGACAGGGCAATGCCAGGGAGTGTTTGCTTACAATTCACATGAGTTGGAGCCTGTTCAAAGGCAACTTAACAACAGCAGTAGCAGCAGCAGCAGCAGCAGCAGTAGCAACATCAGCAGCAGTAACTAATGTCCTTATCACGAACCTTCTGGTGCCTGCCTTCACCTACTATACAGTAGTTTTCCACATAGTTCTCTTTAAACTGGGAGCTATGGTGGCTTAGTGGTAATAAGTTATCCTGCAATCCCAAAGGCACTTGGTTCAAATCCTCCAACTGCTCCATGAGAGAAAGCTGAGCAATCTCCACCCATGCAATTTACTGTATGTGAAGGCCCACTGGAGTGTCAGATGTGGGCCAATCTGACTTGATGGTACACACCAACACATATCACTCTAACAAAATCATTCCACTGGTCCCCTGGTGCCCTTGGTGTCCAGCGCATATGAACCAGAGCCATCATGACACAGGTACTCTGTGACATTCCTTTCCTCGTTCCAGGCCAGTGTGCTGACTGATGCTGACTGCTGCCGGAGGTGGCCCCTTTACTTGGCACTCATTTATCTATTCTAGTACTGCATAAGACTCTGGGGATGTGAGTATGATTGAGATGAGACCTTGATTTCGTTATTTTATGAGAGTGGAAATGATGATCCACACAAATGAAAATAGAGCAATGCAGAAGGGGTAGGTGATTAAGAAAGTTACTTAGTATCATGAGGGCACTGAGTAGAATTTCAGAACTTTATGGAATGAAAGAATTATAAACTACTTAATGAGAATATTGTTAAATGCAACAAACTGATCTATTAGGAATATTGGATTCTGTTTTAACCCTCCTTTAAACATAAGGTTTAAAACCCAACCTAACAGAAACCTTTCCAAGTGATTTCCTCCTCTGACTCACAATCTCATTTACTGCTACATTATCTTGCCTTCAGCAATGTAAATATTAAAGTTCTGTAAATAAATGTAGTCTTCTAATTATAGTGCACATAAACATCCCTCTTTGTAAATATCTCCTCTTATTGGAAAGGAAGTGGAACCCTGGGTATGTGAAGGGTGGCTAATATTTGGTGTAATTTCAATCAGTCTAGTGTGATCCCCAGGTTTAATAATGGAAATATTCAGTTGCATGAGATTCTTTTAAAATAATTTTGCATCTGAGTATCTGTGGCACCATGGTTATCACTGTTGATGTCAGATGGATCCTGGCTGAAAGTAAAGAATGCCAGAAAAATGTCTATTTATGCTTTACTGACTATGCAAAGGCATTTGATTATAACAAGCAAGTTGTGGCTGACATTGAGAACAAGTGGAATCCCAGAGCACTATGTTGTGCTTATGCAAATCATAGACCTAGACCAAGAGGCTGTTGTGTGAACAGAGCAAGGCAGCACTGCATGTTTTCAAATTAAGAAGGGAGTGTGTCAGGATTGTATTCTTTCTCCATATCTATTAATTCTGTATGCTGAACAAATTATTTGAGAAGCTGGATTCTATGAGGAGGAATGTAGCATCAAAACTGGAGGAAGACTCACCAATAACCTGTATTATGCAGTTGACACAACCTTGCTTGACAAAAGTGAGAAGGGCTTGAAAAATTGTTGCAGAAAATCACAGAATACAGCATTCCATATGGATTGTATCTCAGTGTCAAGAGAATAGAAATTCTTACCACTGGGCCAATAGGCAACATCATGATAGATGGAGAAAAAATTGAAACTGTCAACAATTTCATCTTACTTAGCTCCACAATCAAGGAGTTCAGGAGACTTATTGCACTGGGAGAGTCTGTAGCCAGGGACATCTCCAAAAATGAGGACTAACGATGTCAGTTTGCGGACTAAGATGTGTCTGCTTCAGGACATGGTCTTTCTGATCACTTGCTATGCATCTGAAAGCTGGACAATAAATAAGGATAACAGAAGAAGAGTTGATGCTTTTGATCTGTAGTGTTAGAGAAGAGCACTGAATGTCCCATGAACTGCCAGAAAACCAAACAACTATGTCTTGGAGAGGGTGCTCCTTGGAGGCAAGGCTGATAATGCCTTGCCTCACATACTTAAGGCATGTTGCTAGGAGAGGTTATTGCCTGGAAAAGGACATGATATTCAGAAAGGCAGAGGGTTTGTGAAGAAAATGAAGATCCTCAACCAGATGGATTGCTACTGTGACTGCTGCAATGGGCTCTGGTGGTCAGGAAGTGGGAGGATGGCATAGGCTAACACAGGGTTCAGATCTGTTGTTCACAGGGTCTCTATGGCTAGGGTTTCTGTAGGTTTTCGACAGCACCTAACAATAATAACAATCATTGGCCTTCCATTTCTCTTTCTTCTCATGCCTTGTATGCCTCCCTTTCTGGTTCCTTTCTTCCCAGGTCCTTTTCCAGGAAGTATATAAAATAGAAACGCTGAGAATCTGTCCAGTCTATGCTTGCATAAAGTGGGACATCTCCATGAACACTGGCCTACAGGAAGCAGCTGTGAGGAGGGAGGCATGTTCACAGGTTGTCTTAAGTATGACTCCTGCTCGTGTGTATACCATCCACCCATTTATTCACTGTGTATTTTTTGAGTGACTGGTTTGTGCCACAGACACTGTCCTAAATGCTGAGGACACAGTGCTGAGCAAAGAAAAAAGGGCTACTTGCCCTCATATTGGGGAAGGTTGCACTAAACACAGCTTTACATTACAAGAAATTAAACCCCAAACCAAACTCACTACTGCTGAGGTGACTGGGACTTAGAACCCTTTAGGGCAGAGTAAAATGGCCCCTAAGGTTTACTGGTCTGTATACCTTTCAGGAGCAGATGACCTCATCTGTCTAAACTCTAAGCAGCTGATGGATTTTAACCTGACTCTTTGGTTAGCAGCTCAACACCTTAACCACAGCACAGCTAGCGCTTCTTTACCTCAATAAAGGCAAGATAATAAACCAATATCATACTTCTGATATAGAGAGGAAGAATTCAGATTAGTACTTAACTCTTTAGTCTCTGTGATCTCGTTTGTCTGTGTTTGTATGTGCTTAATTCTTATAGCTTTGTGACCTCAGATTTGTGTGCATCTCACTCCTCGTCGCTAAATGAGGTTGATGGAGCAGATGGTCACTAATCCTCAGTGCCCAGTCAGGGCTCTTTTACTCATGTTTCTCTCCTTTTTAACCACCAACGCTTGATTCCACAAAAGTAGGAGTTCCTATTTGCATGTTAAATAGAAATAATGGAATAAGACAACATGTTGGGAGGGTGAATACATGAGTGATTGCGTTGTGGGAGTTGTAGAGCAGGAATCAGATAGAGGCCATGATTGGAAATAATCAGACTTAGTGATTGTTAACACTTTCAAGGAAGGGATATACATTTTAGAGAACAGTAGGGGAGGGAGGAAATCCTTCCCCTACTCCCTGGATAAATTAGGAAACGAATTTCAAATTTTGAAAAAGCATAAACTCACTCCCAAGGATGACAAATGTTGGATTCCCAAGATAGCTGCTATCCACTTGGCTTCTAATCTTTGTGTTTTTTCTCTCCAGGTTTTCTAAATGCTTCCTGAAGATTTCCAGCGACACTTTCTGAACTTTTGGGCGAATGCTTCCAGGCTAGACGCGCTGTCCTCAGAGCCCCTCGCGGCTGGGATGCGGGCTGGGGGATCCCTGAGCGGGGACCCGCTTGGGGCCGCTAGGCGTCAGCCAGCCCGCCGCGCCAATGTGCTTCCCCAGCTGCTCCCATCCACTGCGGGAGAGCTGAATGAGAAGCAGCGCTATTTTTATCTCCCCGGCTGCAGTCCTTTATATTTATTTTCAGGAAGGAAATCAAGGATTAAGAAGGAACTGCTTGGCCTTAGTTTTTCCTCACCAGCAGGATGTGGTTGGATTACCAAAGAGCAAACCAAACCCCTTGTCATTGAAGCCGATTCCGACTGATAACGACCTATAAGGCAGAGTGGAACAGCCCTGTAGACGTTCCAAGGCTGTGAAAGTACACGGCCACATATTGCCTCCCAGCAATGCTAACCTTTCAGTTAGCAGCCAAGAGCTTAACCACTGAGCCACCAGGACTCTCTGGTGGTCTGAATAGGAGGGAGTATTTGAGCCCTGGGTGATAGAAAAGGCAGGTGGATTTCTCTGTTTGATCCGGAGTTTTCTCTGTGTCGGGCCTGGAGTTCCTCCACTCTTCATTCTTCTTCTTCAGCTCCTCTCTCCTATGCCCCCACCTTTAGAGGTGCCACCGTCACCTCTGATGCAGCCTGGGATGCTGCATCACCCTGCTGCTCCCCCCCAACCCCCCCCCCACAAAGCATGCGCAGTGCGTCTCGTGCCAGGCAACAGCAGCAGCATCAGCATCAGCAGGACCTGAAGCTGCGCTCAGCGCGCTCCCGGGGGTGGAACGCACGCTCCAGCCGCGCGCCCCCGAGGCCGCTCGCTCCCGCGCGCCGCCTCAGTATCCTCAGTACCGGCGGCAGCCCCCGCAGTCGCTGGAGCGGCCGCGCCCAGCTGGGGAGGCTCCAAGTTGTCGGTGCGGCGAGGCTCTCCGGACTCTTCAGCGGCCTGGCCCAGGGTGGGCTACAGGCGAGCCGGGCGCGGGGCGCCGCCCCAGCTCTGAACCCCGAGCCCGCGCCGGCACCATGCGCGCCGAGCCGGCGTGACCGGCGCCGCCCGCAGCCTCCCCGCGCGTTGCGCCCGCACCCTCGCCGGGCACAGTCGGCCACACAGAGCGGCGCCCGGGAGCTATGAGCCATGAAGCCGCCCGGCAGCAGCTCCCGGCGGCCGTCCGCGGCGCGCTGCAGTCCACTCGGAGCCTCCTGCGGCTCTCACGGCCGCCCAGCCGGCCCTGCGCCAGCCCGCACCGTCGCCCGCGCGCCGCCCGGCCGCCTGCTCCTCGTCCTTCTACTGCCTGCGCTCGTCGCCTCGTCCCGGCCCCGCGCCTCGGGGACTGCTGCAGCCAGCGGTGGGTATGGCCCCGGCGCCCTAAGCGTCGCCTTCCCTGCGGGGCCCTGCAGTGGAAAGCTAAGGGCGAGCGGGCAGTGCGCTCGGGACACGTCTCTGGCTCGGCCTTTCCGTGCCTCCCGATTTCTTAATCCGCTTCCCAATTCCCGAACCCCCATTCATTCAGTTCACTTTAGGAAGTCCCTTTCTGTTGCGTTCACTAAAACCTGACACTTGGTGCCACTGGAAGGTATTTCGTGGCTCTGGGGAGTCCCAGCCATGTCCTCTTTTTAACTTGGCTGAAGGGAAACCAATGAAGGGAAATACAGTGCGGGCTTAAGTTGCTTCTTGCTTGGCCAACCCCAGTGTGAATGCGGGAAGGTTGTAATGAGAATAGGGGTAAATGGGTTGTTTCCTACCGATTTTACCCTCGGCTGTTGGAAACGAGGTGGGAGGCACAGAGAAACAGACTTTTGGTTGTGAGTTCCCAAAATACTTGTCATTATAATAGACAAGTAACAGAAGAATATTCAACACACTGATGACTGGAAATCACTGAAAGCAGAAAGCTGTCCTGTAGCAAGCAACAGAAAAAAAGAAGAGAGAGAAACTGGAAAGCTGCCAGCGTCTGCATCTCTCTATGGCAAAGGCGGTTTTGCTTCTTTCAAAGTTAAAAGAAAAAGGGGATTGTTTGCTATGTTAACAGAACCAATTAACATTCTGCATCCATGAATTCAGCACTCAAGTTATGTTAGGAGTGTTCTTAGCTCTCAGGGTACAACTAGACAAAGTAGGATTCAGTTTCTGTGATCCCAGGGAAAGGGTTGAGAGGATGAGGGGCAGAAAGAAGCCCCCCCCCCAAGGTTCATGTAGTGACTCATCCTCAAGTCATTTTGCTCCCCACCTCCATACTCGCAATTTTAGATAAGAGACTCGTTAGAACATGTGAATATAAAACATAAAATAAAAAAGGACGAGTTGTGCAAGCCTTATTGACAGTGTCAGCCCAATCAGGGAGTTCTCAGTGGCAAAACTTGCTTGACTATGTCTCCACTTTTTAAACCTGCTTTTATTTAGAAAACTTTGTATTTATAACTGATAGAAGAAATGCAGTTTTAAATTTGGATTTATGATGCATGTGTGTATGTGTGTGTGTGTTTATGCTTTGCCCCATTTCAGCTCCGCACTGGAATGAAACTGCAGAAAAAAAATTGGAAGTCCTGGCAGACGAAGACAGTACATTGCAACAGAACAGCAGCAGTAATATCAGTTACAGCAATGCGATGCAGAAAGAAATCACACTACCTTCGAGACTCATATATTACATCAACCAAGACTCAGAAAGTCCCTACCATGTTCTTGACACTAAAGCGAGACACCAGCAAAAACATAACAAGGTAGGCAGGGGGGCGGGTTGTGCCAAAGCGGTTACGGTGAGGAGTTTGCCTTTAATTTGATTTTCTGCCAGAATTGCATTTCACAAATTTTACTGCAGCATTTTATTAGGAAAGCAATTAATACTGTGAGAAGGGAGAAACGAGGGAATTCATCTGGGACTCACTGGTACAGGACTGCAATTGGTTTCTCTTCTCTGGCTCTAACTTGGAACTGTAATTTTCTTATGGCTTTATAAGCTTCACAGCTGATACATGATCTATGCACCTTTCAGGTACATTGGACACTGAATAGTGGCTAAATGAGTATGTTTATCATCCTGGCTTCTTTCTGTGAAGTTTTATATAAGGATGCAGTATTCTACCTTCCATGATACAAACACTGCTTTCCATCTGCATTCCTAAAATTACTCTAAAGGACTGTTTGCTTGTGTTTTTCCCATCAGTCTTTTACTTAAAAAAAAAATAATTGGGTGTTTAAACAACCTCTTTCTTTAATAAATTGCTCACAAGGGGGAAAATACTGTTTTCATGATACTAACAGTAAGTAGATACTTTGACATTTTGAAAGACTATGATAAATACAAACACATTATTTACATAGCACGGAAACCAGTTCTGGTTTGCTTAATACTTCAGGACTTAATCTGCATTGATTGTGAGAAGTTACTGCACTTTCTTTCTCAAAGGTTCAAAAAGTGACATTGTTTTTAAAAAGCACTCTAGGGAAGGTAGAGGTGCTAAATAGTCATAGAATTTAAGGGACTTCTTCCTGCTTACTGTTTGGTGTTTGAATTAATAATGAATCTTGAGACAGAACAGATTTACACCATGGGATACCAGAGCCCCAGTCTTTATCAGAAATGTACATGTGTCTGATATAGAACCTATATGTCATATGTTTTATCTTGAACTATATTTGTTCAATTGAGAAGAGCAATAAGTATCTATCCTTGTAAAGAATGTAAGAAAAATGTCTGCTATTTATAGAATTTCTTTATATTTCAAAATAATAAATAAGTTGTGATCATATTTATCCTCATTTTATGTGCGAGAAATAGAAAGCCAAATTATTTATATAGCTAGCCCACAACTGTGAAACAGCTAATATAAAATTCAAGAGGCCAAGATATTTAATTTATATCCATGCGTATGTGTAAGGATCAGTCCTTGGAGGGGGTGTAATGCTTGGAAAGGTGGGGGGGGTCAGTGTAAGAGACGAAGACCCTCAAGATAAGTTGACATAGGCCTGCAGTGGGCTCCAGTGGGTCAGAGACGGTGAGGACGGCACAGGACAGGACAGGGTTCAGATCAGTTGTTCATAGCATCACTGTAAGTCGCAGTTACTTCGACGGCACGTCACAACATATACATACACAAACACACATACACACAGATGTATATATAAATGTCTATAAATCAGACTGCTGAAGAAAAGGGATCTCTGGTAGCCTACTCAGTAGGGAGTTGTGGTGTTAACCCAGAGGCAGGTGGTTCGAATCTACCACCAGTGCCAAAGGTGAAAGGTGGGCTGTCTCCTCTCGTGTGATTTATAGGCTCTGAAAGTCTTTAGATGGTCAAGGTTTCTCACTCAACTGTAATGAGTTTACATTTCTGAGGGTTTTTTAAAGAAAGCTTCCCTCCTTTTTAATATTACTGGAAACTTCAGCTTTGTTTCACATCACTGTGAAGTGTTTGGGACTCACCTTGGCAGAGATCAGCGAGGCTCTGATTTCTAGAAATTCTTTCCCCTCTACGTTACCATGTAACTCGTTTGGGAGTTATCTTTAAGGAGTGGAAATCTAAGGCACTTTTGATAAAATGCATGGAGTTCCACTAATGATTTTATAAATTAATGAGGTCCCCTGGAATCAACTCACTGGCAATGGATAACAAAAACATAGTTAAGTGTTTGGTTCTCAAACTCCAGTGCCTTTGCATAGCATGCTGGAGGAAAAGAAAAATCAAAACTCAAACTTACCTCAAAGCCCATTTTAATGAATATTCAAGCCTTAAGCTGAGGCTTGAAAGAATTTTCGGTGGGGACCTCTTAATAATACCTACCCTATCATCTGTCCTTATTTATGGACATGATTCAACTACAGTCTAGCTCAAGTTTTGTGATAATAGTGTTTGTTAAAACTTCTCCCATCACTAATGTGTGGGAATGGTTTTCTCATTATGAAACAGCTGCCTGCTGCAGGAATGAGTCTGTCTCCCTCTACCCTCCCATCCCTGCCCTTTCTCCTTGATGACTGGATTTCTTTTATAATGTTTGTCTGAAAATTATAGTTGAAGGCATTTTTCTTCTTTTCCTGTTAATTCAGTTGAACAGACATGTGTAGCACACATCTCACATGGAAAACGGAATGTTTACACATGAAAAAGACAGGAATGAGATAAGTGAGATTCGTACCAGTGCAGTTTTAAAGGCACAGACTCTGTTCTTCTCATTTGGTTGGGTTGCTGAAGCTTCTTTCAGACTAGTTGGGGGGAAAGTGTACCGTATGCTTTCTGCTGGTGGCTTGCCTAATGATCGTGTTAAGAAATATCAGATTGTACTACTGACATAAAGTAGAAAGGATTCCATCTTTCTTTTTTTCTCTTACAAAAGTAAGTTTTGATTTTAAGATCTGTATGTTGTGTACCTTTTCCTCGCAGATTTCGTTGCACTCAAGCATGTTTTAATGAGTGTCTTAGAAATGCTGAATCACTACCACTCTCCGGGATCCTCCTGTGGGGGGTGGGGGTGTATGGAGAGGAGGAGAGGGAAATTCACATATACACTACAACGCTGGGCTCTGTGTGTGTGAAGAAATTGTCTAAATATCCAGTAGCAGTCTTTCCTACTTTATCACACTGAAAGTTAAAATGTTTTGTTATCTTTCAGTTCAGACTGTGCAGATTATACACATCAGGATTTCTGAAAACATGGTTTTCTCCATCAAAGGGTATTTCAGAACCTTTTTCATAGGGAAAAGTGTAATTTATTTCCCACACTGTGCCCTTTTTGAGTGTAAAAATGGGCGCTATGAAGAACTATGCTATGGCAATAGACATAAACTAAGAGCAAATAGAGGGAATGCTTGCCTCAGATCTAATCTGGTTATGCTTTTTTACTTTGGGGGCTTATTCAGATTTCCTCAGGTGCAGTTTTATAGCAGTTTAGTCTCATTTTTTCCCTTAAGGTCTTATCTGTGGTGGTCTACTGAGTAAAGAGTCACCTACTCAAAGACATGCAGTTCGAATCCTCCATCTGCTTGTCAGGAGAAAAGACAGGCAATGTGTCTCCACAAGATTTACAGCTTCTGAAACCCATTGGAGAATCGGCTCTGAATCAGTTCCCACTAGCCAGCACCTAACAAAAGCAGCTTATAGGAAGTTGTTTATCACCATGCAAAAATATTGGGGTTTGAAATGAAGAAAAAAAAAAAAAAAAGAACTTTTTTTTTGTTTTCAAGACTCTTCATGACTTGTACCGACTTTTATAACCATAAATACAATTTTAGGATTTCTAAGCATTTTATTCAGCATTTTATTCAATGTGTTAATAAAATGGATCATATAATTTATTCTGAGAAAATCATATGAGATCTTTTCCCAGAAAAATTGAGGACCCATTTTCTGAATCTTCCCTTTGGTAAAAAAAATTTACTTGTCCTGTGTCTTATTCTCTTAGAATTCTTTTATCTTCCAGATGGGAAGGAATAGAAGAGGTAGGCTGATGCCTGTGCATAGTATAAGGCCTTGAGGAGGATAAAGGTCAGTTCCTATGACTTCACCTTGCTTATGCATTTTCCAGTCTTTTCCTTCCCTCATTCCTTAATATACCAAATTTTCCTCTCTGAGAAGACAGAAGAAACAAATTTAAGTGACCTTAGATCACTGTGATTGTTTTAAATTTCTACTTTGTTTCAGTTGTCATGAATGTTATAAATGATTAAACATATGACAGCTAGACAGAAGGTTGGTGGTTCAAGACCATCCAGAGCTGCCCTGGAAGGCAGGCATGATGATCTCCTTCTGAAATAGTATATTCTTGAAAGTTCTGAGCATGTATGGGCCCCCCATGAGTTCAATTGCTTGACTCTGGCAGCAGACAGCATCAGCAGTTCTCTAGGTCAAGGCAGGCCACATTTCCTTGATTGTTCAGAAGTCAGCTGCTATATTGTTCTTGGCATGAGAGAGCGAAAAAGGACTTTCAGACACAATAGTAAAATGACTTCCTAGGTATTAACAACATTAACAACAATAAAAGATTTGTGAGTGTCTATTCTATGAGATGTTTTTCCATTTCTTTAAAACTCTGGTACATGTATTTTATGACATGTATTATCAGAGCTTAATTTTAAAATTTGATAGTTCTATATTGTGGAACATGAGGGGTAATCCCTTTAGCAAGGACAGGATTTAGCTAAGGAAATGTTTATAAAATTTTAGGGCATATAGTGTAAAAACCAGCTCTGCTGCTTTCAAAGTCAGTTGTATCAATCTGATTGCTTGACAGTACTGAAATATCATAGCATCCTTTCTCAAATTTGCTAAAATGGCAACTATTTTATTGAGTTACATGATACTATAAACATTTTTATTGATGGTGAAGCTTTGTCTCACATACTTTGGGCATGTTGTTAGGAAAGGCTGTTCCTTGGAGAGGGAGATCATGCTTGGAAAGGTGGAGGGTAAGCAAAAGAGAAAAAGACCTTCAGTGAGATGGATTGATAAAGGTGACTGTAGCAATGGGCTTGAGTGTGTTTGGGATCATAAGGATGTTGCAGGAGGACAGGGTTCAGATCTGTTGTTTATAGAATCACTATAAGTCATATGTTACTTGACAACAACATCATCAACTTCCCCAGGTTTCCCCAAGAAATTATTTTAAAAATGTTACTGTAAAGAATTCTGGTTCATAATGGTTTTTTCCTTTCTTTTTTTTTTTTTACTGTACAGTGGAGTCTTCAGTAATTATCTGTTGTATGAATTGATGATGCACACTTAGCATA